TTACATTGCAAAATTAATAACCCCAAACAGAAATACACTTGAAAAAATTTAGTTGATTCATAAAAGAGACTTAACAGTATATAGGCAAGAGTTGTTCTTCACTAATGATGCATATTGCATTTGATTATGTTTTCAGAGAGAACAGAAGCATAAGCAGTGCAGGATGTCTCCTTTAGCATGGGCTGATGTAACAGAAACCAAGAACAACACCGAATTTGCAAGAAAATCTGTTTCTTGCCCAATTTCCTGCATAAAGGAGTTCTGATAAGCATTCAGACTTTGCAAGCTTCTTTGAACTGATCCATTAAAAATGGGAGTTGACCCTGCCAAGTGCCAAGCAGAAAGTCTCTTCAGATGGCATTCTGTAACTTGCAGGTTCGTGTCCTTAGCCAGGTGGGATTGTTCATTAGAAACGTGCCTGCATTGAAGAGATGTGTAATAAAAGCAAAACCAATCACTTATTAAAAAAAGAACCAATGACATGATCGGCAACAATGGTATTTAAATTGTATAATAAAGCATTTGTCCTCCTTTTTGTACAGGGAACAACTACACCTTGATCAGGACAAAGGAAAAAAAAAATCTCTTAAGATTATGCCCTGGTCACTTTCATATAACTACCCTTGAGAAGAAAAGAAGAAAGGTACCCACATACTTACAAAACTTTGATGTCTTCAGAACAGTGCCAACTGCACCTGTATTTTCATGCTATTGAGACTCAAGTGGTAAACTTGGATGCTTATGTATAAGCATATGAATTCGATGGGGGAAGTGTATTTTTATTTTTTTCTGAATTGGTGGAGGAATAGTAAAAGGACTTTCCAGAAGCCACTGGACTTACATTCTGTTGTATGAAGACTTAAATCCACAACTTACAGTAAAATTGTGTGCATCCACTACTGGTAGAAAAAGAACCAATTCAAACATAACAAGGCTTTGGAAAACACGGCCCATTCTCAGTGAAGCTGAGGCCTCCCAAGAGGCTACTCTCCCATTGAGACCAATGGCAATTTCCTCCCTCTCACTTGGCTTTCGGTTTGGGACTATAAATCCAGCGAAAGAAACACTATGCTTCAACTCACCTCACAAGGGTAAACCACCACAGGACTCATTTATAGACCAAAAAGATGACCACTAGATGACCTCCAGGGGTCCCTTCCAACCCAAAACATTCTATGATTCTATGACCAAAAAAAAAAAAGAAATCTTACCAGAGAAGAGCTGCTCACAAACTGACTTTAGCAGTACTGAGCATATTTATACAAATACATAACTGCAAACATTCAAAGAGACCAAATCATTCCTTGAGAAATTTTAAGAGGGGAAATTCTCCAACCCATTCCTAAATTAGCCATTTCCTGGTTCACAGGTTCTCAAGTGAAATGCAGCTGATGGGTGGGGGAAGCAAGGGAAAATGCAGGGTTAGCTTTTGGTTTTATGAACGTCAAGTTTACGCTAGAAACTACTCGTCTTCCTTGTGCCCTCCTGATGTTCTCAGCTGTTAGAGGCCTGATCCAACTCTTATTGACATGCAGAAGACACAGTGGAGCATGAACCACTACAGAGTTTCTAAATAGGATGTACCTCTTGATAGTAGCAATGAAAAAAAAATTCAAATTTCAGTTTGGTGCTTTAGTATAGGACTTATCTTCCAGTTGCACGTGATGAAGAAGTTTACATGCTTTGAGTACAACCCTGTTCCTTATTCATCGAGCCCTATGCATCAAATTGATGGGATGCCACCTCACTTTCATGGAATTCTAAAATGTAAGAGGAGTTGCATGCCCTACAGGAAAGTCTTCAAATTTAAGCATCATATTTGATTTTATTTGAAATGGCTCCTGACTCACCAATTGCTCTAAGGGAATCCTGAACTGCGTTTAAAGAAGGATGGAGAATTGTCATTGTCTGCATCTACTAAGTCTATGACAGATCTTCTTGAGTACTGCCTTAACTCTGGACAACACATAGCAATGTCAGAGAGTCCCTTCTGCTATTTGCACCTTTGAAAAAAGGTCCGTACATGACTACAAGATTTAATATATACCATTACTTGTGCAAATTACCGGATTTTAAAAGTTGCTGCATAGGCAGATGTAGTAGGAAATGGATAGAAAAGACTCAGAGACTACAACCAAAATAGTTTTCCAGATTGGTTACTGAAGTTTTTATCGTTTTAGATATCCACACTAATGTTCATAAAAAGCAACATATCCAACAGTTGAGGCTTTTAAAATAAATAGCTCTCAGGTACTTTCTTGAAAAGATTTGTCTATAAAGCACTAAACTGCAAAGAGCATGTGACATCCTGCTTTAGGAGAAAAAAACCCAAAATACCAGATAATAAAGTATTTTGGCTAATATTGCATTATGTTCCAGGTTTTACAGAAGTAAACAAGATAGCCATTCATCTAGTTTGCTGAGCATCATGAACAGCTCCTTTCAAAGGCTTACAGAAAAAACCCTTAACTTTGCTTCAGAGCTGTTTTAGAAATGTTATTTACTTGTTTTTACTCACAAGCCAGAAAACCAGCAGGCTACAAAGGTATTAACCTTGCACCTTATGTTAAGTCAATACATACATAAATACCAAGCCATAGAAACACAAAGCTGGGGGGGGTCCCCTCCTTGACAGCATTTGCCAAATTCCATAAAGTTACAGGGGAGAGACATTTGTCAATCTGAAGATGAAGACAAGTTAATATAAACAGAGTATTTTTATTATCAAGTTCTCAACAGCTGTACTAAATTCCTGCATCGTCACGAAGGCAAGAAATCTCACTTTCTTTGCACTGTTTTTGAAGAGCAGAGACACTTGTTCATGATCATCTTCTGTCAAACGGGTGACTTCTTTGGAAGGTGCTATGTCATAAGCTGCCACATCCAGTTCCTAGTGGGAGGGCAGACACTTACCCTACTTACCTTCCGAAACTATTAACATAAATGAAAGCATGCCCACATTTGGAACACACACCAATGGACATAGCCAAAACTGCACAGGGTGGGAGGGAGGAACTGACACAATGAAAAAAAAATAAAAATCTACTAACACAAGCACTGTAAAGGAACCACTTCCTGGACAAGTTGAATTTTTCATATTATTTATTTCTCCAACTCTGCAGAAACTGTCAGTTAGTATAATATTAGAGATCTATAGAGTGCTAAAATTGTGATACAGTGGTAGCTCTTCTAACAGTCACTTCTTCTACTGGCAGGACTTGAGCAAACAGCTAAGTGTGTTCATGCTAGCATGCAGAGCACTAGTCTCTCTTACACAGAAAATCTACAGAATATCCAAAACCAGTGATTTCGGAATTTCATGAAACAGCTCAAAACACACTTAAGGTTATGCATACAAATTCATGTTTTTTCCATGTTTAGATTGAATTGTTGACACGTTGTTTATTATTTTTAAATCAGTAACAATTCCTTTGAAGTTTCTATCACTCAAGGGAAATTTTACAATTTCTGCTGACACAATGCACAGTGGTGGATATTACTGCTTAGCTGTGTGTACTTCTTATGACTATGATTACCATTTAAATTCCAGATGAATTCAAACATTAAGCCTTTCAGATACAATCCAGGTTTTAAAATCAACCTGACCAAGGGGAGGAGAGGGCAAGAGAAAAAAAATGACTGCATGATTCAAGCAAGACAGAATGATCCTAAGTCAGGTCTAGAACTAAAGCATTTTGTAATTATTGGTTTTCTAACACTTGCATACAGAAAAAATACCTTCATGATAATAATGCATTTCTGAGATTAGCTCACTTTTACTCCCCTCACCATTCCAAGTTAGTAAGGCACTTCTGAGATTGACAAGCAATTTGTTCATCAACATAGCAACAAAGTATCGGAAAGACATTTTTTTCAAACATTTTCTAGTTTCTACACCTGTATTGTTTTTTCTCATAGCTAACAAAAGCATTTGACTTTTTTTGTGCATTCTGGAGGAAAAAAACCCCCAAACCCTTGGGTTTTACATCAGTTTCCCCTACTTTCTTGACCATCATCCACTGCCAAAATGTAACATGAATTATCACACACCACTTGTCAGAACCACAATGAAGGTACTACAGGGAATATACAAATTGCAGATCGTTTTACTGTGAACTCCTGGACAGTATGGGAGCTACCACTCAAATAGAAGAATGAAGTACTGCAGGTTTTTTTGTTTCCGATTTCAAGAACAACATAATTTAGTAACTTAAGCTTTTCTGCTTTTACCTTGGAGGAAATACTCTCTTCTTAAAGAGCAGTAAGAAAAAAGATGCAGAAAGAAATACCCTGTCAATGAATATGGAAGGTCAAACAAGGGGCTACTTTCTCCCCAACTAACTTATTGTCAGTTTGTATTAGTTTACGCTGCTTTCCCTTATACACCCAATAGTCACACATTTGAGGCAGCTTGACTAAAAATCTGGCAAGGTTTTATTGCAATAATGCAATGTTAGATTTATATTTTGTAAGTCACAAAATGGCATCCTGTGGGTCCTTTTGGTTAGCTTGCTTTTTTCTTTGCTGGTTTTCCAGTATGTACACCTGTCACACAAATCCAAGATTCTTGTCTTGTCACATTTCTCCTCGGCTACTGCAGAAGGATTTGCCTTACAGTTAGAGGTCCTCTGAGCCATTAAAACCATAATGTTGACTCCACACACGGAAAGCTTTTTTTTTTGAAACAGCAGTATCAGTAGAGATCACATGTGCATCCTGAGCTGCTTCATACTCCTGTGTGACGGTGTACCTTGACTTCCCTAGCAGCTCA